ATCAGTACCTGTAAATATTAAGCATTTTGCAGTTGTCTGAAGGTCTCATCAGCTTCTTCCCTCTTAGGGGGTCTGTAGCAAATACCCACTATAATGTCACCCCTATTGATCTGCCCTCAAAACTTAACCCATAAGCTCTCAACAGGCTCATCTGACTGAAGGTACAACTCCATGCAATTCAACTGTTCTTTCACATAAAATGCAACTCCCATTCCTTGCCACCCCAGATTGTCTTCCTAGGCCATCCACATCCATCCATTGAAGCACTCTAGCTGTGTGTTTATACCGCAATACAATTATTGTCCTACAGTTGCATCCAAACTCTACCTCCTCCCTTTTACTCCCAATAACACATGCATCTGTATAAAGGCACTTCAGAGAAGCATCCAATCCTGCAGATCCCCAGAAAAAGCAAAGAAAGAGCTTACCCTATCAAGTTCTGTTTGTACTTTCTTGTTGGAGAGCTGGGATGATTGGCCTTCAGATCTGATCTGTAGATTACTAAGTGTCTTGCTCAAATCAGCCTATACACTTTTTTTGCAAGTTCACTAATTTCTTACTTGATTGTGTGTAGTCATTTTTTTTACTGTAATCTCTACTTTTGCCCTGATTTGAACAGGTGGATACTATCCCCTCTTGGTAGTCCTTGCTCTGCAAAGGAGGTCTCAAGGCCATAAGAGCCAAAGCTCTGCTATCAGCATGAGCTGTGAAACTAACTAGCTGTAGACAGGCAGTATCTGTTTATTCCTCCTGATGGTGAGAAGGGGGTTGAGGATGACACAGAAGATCCACCTGGCTTCCTGTGGCCTTGGCCGTCATTCCAAAGGCCACATAGTCTTGCTGAATAAGCTTCAGGCACCCCCTTACTACATCCATTAGTGTTCAAGTAGAAGAGCTTTAAGGTTAAGTATTTTAAAGGTGAAACACACCTTGGCAGTCCTTCCCTCACATCCCTATCAGGGGTATCTAGAAGCAGCAAACCTCCCTAACACAAAACAACATGTGGAAGCCTGTATTCCCTATAGGAGTCAGTCTCCCCACTATCTGCTCAGTCTCACCACTTGCTGCTGCCCCAGGTGCTGTTCTGATGCTTAGTCATATAAAACCATAGAATCATTTAGGTTATAAAAGGCCTAGAAAGAGCTCCCAGCCATGTGTCTTCTTTCAGTGCTCTGAACCTATTTGGCAACTGCACATCTGTTCAAGGAACAGGCATCTCCCTCCTGGTGTCAGAGGCCACCAGCCTTCACCATTACGGGAGTATCGATTTCCCAACCTGATATGAAGAGACTATTTCTGCCCTCCTGTCAATATACCTGGAGGTTTCAGATTCTTGAATCTGTAGAGTCTTGTAATTTTTGTTATTTATGATGCTGTGCAAGCCTGCTGACCCCCTTCCTCCATTTCTTTGCTTGGTGACACAGGTTTTGCACAACTACACAACTTTAGGAGCAGGGACATTGCTTGATTCCAGCTAGCAGGTGCCACCAGGCATCCCTGCAGCTCAATCTCGAGAGGTGCAGCCTCCCTCAGGAACTTGGCCCAAGCAGAGGCCTCTGATGTGCCAAAGGTAGTTGTGCCAGTGGTAGGGATCATGGCCTGTGGTGCTTAATTCCCTCACCAGGCTGATCAAGTTCAACAACCCAGCAGAAAAAGCTGAACAACAAAGCCAGTCTTGACTGTTCAGCTTGCTAAACAAGACCAGGAAAGACTGCAGTCAAGACCAGCAGGACAAGAATGGGAAGATGCACAGTCATGAATGGGATCAAAATCTGCCCCTTTCAACAGCAAGCTATTAACCATATCAGTTATTGCTGTTAACTCAGACTCTTAATTCACACACATGGTGAATCTTTTAAGTAATTTTTGAGACAAACCTCAACAGAATGTATGAAAGTCACTCCTGCACTTTATGATACTAAATGACAAAATACTAGATTAAGTAGAACATTGCTAAAAACTAGTATGGCAGTGTTCCACTATAACGAGATTTTACAATAAAAGTTACTGTTTCACAATCTATGTTCTCCAAAGCAGCAATTTCTGCTCAAGAAAGGATAAACATTAATTACCACACAAAACATTAATTACCATACTAGCAGTTAAAATAGCACCATACTAAAAATACCTTAAGCCTAGCAGCTTCCCTATCCTAGTGCTGTTTGAGGTCAAAGAAATATACAAGGTTACTTTAAGTATCACCACAAGACTGTTACCATTAAAAGTCTTATTTCAGCAAAGGGAAACAGAGTAATCAATCTCCTCTACTAAGTGGTTAATACTCAAGAGTTGTAAAAATTTGTGTTCTTATACTATTGAGAACATTAGCAGGCTTTTTTCCTTCCCTGCTACCAACCTTAATACAGTTATATAATCCCTTTTTATGCAAACTTTGATATGTATCTACATTCATTCAACCATAGGTTACTAAACTGCTTGGAGAGTTTAACTAGCCTTTCAAGATAAGGAACGGGACTACTGTAGAGCAATAGGGTACATATTTGACACTCAGCCAAGCTTTCTGCAAAGCCCCTCAGAGCTCAAACTGATCCAACAGAGAAACAGCTTCTTGTTCCTATCGTTGTGCCTGCTCACTAACAAGACAGGAGATTAACCAGGCAAGTTTTTAACAGGTTAGGTGATTGATACCACCTAATAATTTGATTAGCAAATTGAGAACTGGCACAAGTTAAGCAGCAGGAGAACACTGCCAGAGGCTAAGTGGATGGAATGAAACTGCCTCTTTCAACAAGAGCCTGCTGTATTAGCTTGGGCATCTCATTTGAGCTCCACTCTAGGTAGAAACAGCATCTATAAGCTCATTTTTTCCACCCTTACTGAGCACTGGTACTCACACTGACTCCAAGATTCACACATATAACTCGTTCCTACTGATCTGTACCTGGCATAACTGACCTTAGGCAAAGCCAGTGTTTCAAACACATTAAACACGGTTTATTTATGATGGGGAACCCTCACTGCCTCACCTGTTACTCAGTACAAGCTTCCCACAGGTACACCACTTTTACCGGCCTAGTTTAAGAGAAGTTTTCTTTTGATCACACCACCACTACTGCATAGAGAGCAGTGTATCTTGTCTCTCACCTTCCCCAAAACATACACTAAATTAACAAGAAGTCAACATGGCAAAGTGCACTATCAGATTTATGATACTTTAGCAGGACAGGATATAACACACCTGTACTGCCAGCAAGTGTAGTGTTACATAAGCCACTAGCAGACAGTTACTACAGGTAAACTCACAAAGTAAAGAAATTTAGCCACAGGAATCAACGTGGGAAGGTTAAACATATATTCTAGATGCATCATTTAAAGTGAAAGGTACCTGAAGAGCTATTTTGCCTATAGAAGATTTTGGGGCACTTTTTGGGTGCTGTATATTTCCTACTACGAAGCTGAGCTTTTCTTTCTGGTATCTACAATAGCTTTAAAAATAATTAGCAGCTAAATATGTAGAGGTGTTGCAACATTCCTTGGTTAAAGAGATAATCTAATAAAATAAAAAGTAGATTTAAAGATTATGTTTGAGGAAAACAAATTTTTTCAGGACCAGGGCTTAGAAAGCTCTCTGTAATATCACAGACTCATTCTCAAGGTAGTTCTCTAGAAAGACCACCACCCAGTTCAACATAGCCAAAAGGAGTACACATGAGGAAATGGGAAACAAGCCTTCTGGCATTAAAAAGGCATTCAACTGCCAAATTCTTTCCTTTTCTTAGTTTTTAACCTGGTGCTAACTGCCAAGTCAAATGAAATCACTAATGTTGGCAAGAAAATCCTGGATATTTGTAGAAGTTAATAACAAAATTCATTATACTCCGGTATAATGAATTAGGACTCAGAGGACCCACCCTACTGATATACAGCTCTGGCTGCAGATATGCAAAAGCCACTTAGTACTCTGCCTGTGATTTATAATGCTACTTGTCTAGGCAGAAGGTCTTCTTCCCTGGTCAGATATCATTTTGAGCAGAAGTATTTCCTTAATATTTACCCAAATTTTGTATCTTCTTTAACTCCTTCAGCATGCAATATAAGCTGGACAGAGGGCAACCAGGCATTTATGCAATAGTTCCAATGACAAATTTGTTTTGCCACTACTTTTACAAAATTAGTCACTTTGATAGCCTGTATGGTCTTACACTTTAGGTGTACAAATAAAAGTCACAGCAATCTGATTGTTTAGTCGAAGAGGCTTCCAAGGGGCATATCCATACACCAGCTTGCTTTCAAACTGCCTCCTGAATTCTCCTATACTGTTAAAGACTGAAAACTTCATGTGAATGTATTGCTGGTGACCTGATACAACACAAGGACTGGCTTAATCTCTGACAGGTGAAACAAGCCATGAATATGGACAGCTGAAATTGGCCATAAGAGCACCTGTCTCTACACACACCAAGGAGAACAAATTACACAAGAGGAACGGGTTAATGAAAACCCCAAAAAAACACCCCAAAACAAAAACAACCAACTAAACAAACAAAAAAAAAAACAAACCCAAAAAACCTCCCAAAGTAACCAAACAAAAACTCCTCAAACAACACCCCTCTCCCTCAACCAAAAGAAAACACACAACCCACTGAGTTCAGTACAGCAAGCAACAAAATAACAAAATATCAGCCCTGAGTTTAAAACCAGGATCAAGTCTTCAATACTAGCCTTTATCAGTTTTTAAAAGCAGCAAGTCGGCTACTCTGGAGAACAGAGTAACTGAATTGCAATATTAATATGACAATACTACTACAGACACAAGAGCTATTGTACCAATCTCACCAAGAAAAAAAAAAAAAAAAAAGGTGGTTCCATAAGATTAAGAAAAGAACAAGTAAAAGAGAAACACTGAAAAGTATTACTTTTTATTATTTTTCAATCTACAAATCAAGCACAGAAAAACTTCTCGGCTTCTACTTCCCAAGACAAAAGTTGCTATAAAAACAATTTTGATATTTAAAACAACACAATACAAAGAAACTTGCCTGGTAATTGAAGCAAATACTGGTATGGCTCTAGGATTCTTTTAGATGTTTCATCCATCCCATCCATTTCTTTATTTCCCAAGATGTAGTTCACTGTTAAAGAAAGTGTTATTAACACTATTTAAATTTAAAAATTTGTAAGTAAGTAGTAGATCCAGACAACTAAAATATCAGCTGACTTACAGGTTAGGTGCAAATATTCCGATTTTGTGCAGGACACCTATATAAAAGGTATCCAGATGTCATTTACCAAAGAAACACATATAATACATGCTAAATAGAGTTTTCTCTAATCAACCATGAAGTTTGAGCCAACTCCTAGATTTTCTTTACTTTTTTGTGTATAGCAGATTGCTTAGGTGATGAAGTATTTAAAACTTTACCAAAGCTCCATTGCAAATCTTTAAAGACACTCATACAAAATCTCATACGACTAATCTGATTAGATCTCACTAAATGCTTTCTCCATACATTAGACATTCCAAAAGTGGAAATGTCTTAAGAGCAGAAAATACATCTCAGACCAAGGCAACCTAAAGAAACAGAATACTAGCTTCAGTCTTTTGATGCAATTCCTCATTCTTTTGTTATAAGTTAAAATAGAAATATACCATTTTTCTACCACCGTTCAAGCATACAGACAGTGCTACACACATTCCCATACACCATAAATGTAATAGGCTCTTATGAATAATCTTTTAGGATCCAGGGCCTACAGATATCAACAATTTTCTACTGATTAGCTTCAATTCACATACTTTAGGTCATCTCCATCTGCACTGTTTTTTCAGACTGTTTTCTGCGATAGATTTACTATCCTTTCACCTCTAGCCTTCCTTACTGCACTGGGATGCAGCAACTCAAAACAATTCTTCTCATGTAGTTTTAAGACAGGAACTGCAGCAGTAGCATAAAGTCTCATGCTACTTCAGCATCACTTCTCAGATACTTTGCTAGTATCCTGCAAAGAATTTATTTCTTTCCTCCTGGAGCAAGTGAATAGTTATGTAAATTAATGTCCCAATTTTGGCTAGAATAGAGCTAATTTTCCTCCTAGTAGCTGGTGTAGTGCTGTTTTGGACTCTGTGTAAGAGTACTGTTAATAACACACTAATGCTTTGGTTGTTGCTAAATAATGCTCACTGTAAGTAAAGGACTCTTCAGTTTCCCAAGCTCTGTCAGGGAGCAGGTGCACAAGAAGCTGGGAGAGTATAGCTCAATCAGTTCCTGTCTATGCCCATTCCCACCTTCCACACCACAAGCATTTGTAGCAGTCTGTACTTGAGCAACTGATCTGTGTTAATAACTATTTTCAAGTTTAGGTACAGATCAACTCCTTTATTTGCTTCTCTCTGTGCGTTCATCAAACATATTGGCACTTCAGGGGCAAGAAAGGCTATTTAACCAAATATAGTTGTCAACAAAATGCTTGTAAGGCTGCGCCTTTTGGGAAAGCTTCGCATATTTTCTTGGCAGTGATGCTGTGATAAGAAGTACAGCCTCTCCATCCTATCCATGATGTGCCAGCACAATTAGAGGTCAGGCTACACACCAATCAAAATCAGATTTGACACCCTTGACTCCTTATTTAGTTGCCAGCTTGTTGTTGTAACTGAAGTGCTTTCAACCCGCACTGCCACTAAGAGGCAGCTGTCAAACTGTACCCTTACATATAAGGAGTAAGTCTCAAAGGACTTCAGTGAGGAGGTAAAATCAAAGATTTTCAGTCTACTCCCAGATGTTTCAAGCAGAAAGAATCTGGTGGAGATAGATATAAGGATATGCTATCAACCTAACAGCTCCCCTGTGACTATTATTTGTCAAAAAGCCACATAGACAGTGATAGAATTGAAAGTGCATAGCTATCCAGCTAGGCTGAGAAGAGATGCTGGGATTGGAAGTGCTCTCCTATAAAAGCTCTTGCTTAGAGGTAAATGTTAAAGCTCTTCCTCTTCCCTCAGGGAATTAGTTCTCTTGCGCATCTGTAAGGAACAAAGTCAATATTCAGAATCCCCAACTAACTTGAAATTCATTAGTATTGTACAGCATCGATCTAAATATTTGCATCTTTTTGCACAAAACTAGTAGGAGTTTACCTGAAATACTAAATATCAGCAGAATATAAGTCAGGTGCTTTTTGCCACAAGTACAAAAGTTCTTTCTTTTTTTTTAATAAAAGGCAAAGTAGATCTAATGAACAAAAGTAACTAATCACAAATCAATATAATTAAAATTTTCCATACTACTATTCTACCATTAAATTAAATTCTAGGTAATTCCCCACCAAGGGGAAAAAAAAAAAGCCTGATTATTCATCAGATAGCTACACATTTAACACACTCACTGGCATATAAACAGTGAACAGAACCTTCCCCAAACTTATACATAGAAAGGGACCCTCGATAAATAAACATGTAAACGAAATTCATTACAAAAGCCTCTAAGCAAAAATACCATGATATGTGTAACATCATTGCTCTTTGCACAAAATTATCACATACAGCACACTTGGGAAATGCTTGATATTAAGGGTTTCCTGCTGAGATGACTGACCAATTTGTCACGGAAGTTACACTTCTCAGTGATTTACACACAAGATCTCAAGTCACCATCTCCCACTAAGAAGTAAAAGCCAGCAGTTAATAAATGAAAGACAATGAAAAGGCTTTTGTTAGCAAAAGTGCAAGAATTGATTACATCTATGCTTATTCATAGGATTAAAGCAGTTAAGGCCATTTTACCTTTTAAACCAGCACACAAACTTGCTGCATTTCAATTCATATGGATTACAAAGTTAATTTTCCAGTTATTTCTTCACATAGGCACAAAGAACAGTCACACACAAGAGAGAGCCCAAACAGCTGTTTTTTGGACTGCATCAAACCTTATCTCTGATGACCTCTTTGGAAACACATGTAACACTAGGATAAGATGGTGACGTGGGCCTCCATACTGTGGAACTACTCTAAAGCTATGATCTGTGTCTAGATCCTCTTTGTAGAGAGGATGAAAGTTGATGATTAACTCTAGGTCAAATGTCAAGAAAAAGTTTCCCTCTGGAACTTTGCAAAACAGCTTCTCAGGCTACCCTGTTCCATTCCACTCTGCAGATCCTTCTTCTATTCCCAAATAGGGGGAATATAATAGTCTGAAATAGTCCAGGTTAAACATGCAGATGGTATTTTAAAAAGTATCATCATCTCAGGGGCTGCAGTCATTCTGCAATTACAGAGAAAATAAGAGACAACTATCAAAGAAGCAAAAAGCTCCAGTATACAATGAACCATTCAGAAAGTTCTCAAATCAGCTCCATCACAGAATTTAGTGCACTGAGACACTGGCTTCGTTGTAACCAGTGGGAGGGAAGAAGCCCCAGACAGGAGGAGCAGGCAGGTAGGAGTGAGAAGGAGAGTTTCAAAAGGAATACACAGAAAACATAGTGAATACCTACTGTTTCAGAGACTACCAGAAGTCTTAATCCAAATGCAGCTGGGACACTAGTCCACATTCCCATTCTAATCAGCAGAGTCGCGTTTATAATCCCTCCCAGGCTGACACCGAACAACACCTCGCATTCAAGCTGTGGGCGGACAAGCTTCCCACAGGTGGAAGGGCAATCGCAGACCACTCATTTTCCCCGAAGATACAGCTAAGTAAACAACAGCTTTCCATAGCGCCACTCCAACAGTAACGCCAGTACGACACGAGCATATTGCTCCCGTGATCATGGTTCCATTTTAATGGGGATTTCCAAAAAAAAAAACAAAGAGCACGAATGGTACCGAAGCCCTAGAACAATACCTCGGCCGCCAAAGTCTCGGCACGCAGACGGGGAGGGTCTCTGAGCTGCGCGCTGACCCGAAGACAGAAGATGAGTCGGCAAAACCCGCGACCGCAGCTGGAGCGCTGCGTTACGCGGCTAAAACTCACGTTTCACAGAGAACATGAAGCTGCTGCCGCCAAACTCCCGCCACAGCCGGACCGACGGAAATAAGGTCCATTTTTTTTCGGAGTTCAACACGACAGGCGCAGCCTGTTCAGCTGCCTCCAGCACCCCAGGACGAGCGGGCCCAGCTCTTTAGCGCCATTTTAGGAGACCGAGAGCCGAGGACGCCGCGCTCCCCCCGCCCGCCGTCCACCCCCATTTTCTGATCGGCGCTGTCGGGCTCAGCCGCCAGGGAGGGCCGGGAAGCGCCGCCCGCCGCCAGCCCAGCGCAGCCCCGGCCGCGGAGCGCTCTGTCAGTCACTCCGCCCGCCCCGGCGACCGCCGGCACCGCCCAGCACTACCGGCGGCCCCCTTTCCCCCGGCCCCTTGCCGGGCAGGCTACAAGCCCCTCCTGGGTGGGGCGGGGCGGCCGCAGGACACGCTCCCCCGCACCCGGGCTCGGACGGGCCTTTCCGAGAGGGGCGCTCCCTCCCTCTCCGCCGCCCAGACCCCAGTGTCCCCCTCCAGCCACTGCCAGCTAACAGGGCAGCCAACCTCGCCTCGCCGCCGCCTCCTCCGCCGCCGCCGGCAGCCAGAACCCCGCCCCTGAGCAGCCGCCGCTCCGGGAGTAGCGGCGCTGGCGGCAGCAGAGCCCAGAGCGGAGCGCCGCCCCCCTTCCTTCCGCCCCGCCGGGCGCCACCTTCCCCTCCTGGGGGGAAAATGCGCCACCGAGCGCCGCCCGCGCACGCGCAGGCCCCGCCCCCTCGTCTCGTTAGCCTTCTCTGTTGTGCCCGCCCCTCGAGCGCGGTGCACTCTGGGAGTTGTTGTCCACTGAGCCGAGCGGCGCTGCCTGCCGGAAATGCTGTTCACACTGAGCAAGAACCGCGTTCCCCATGAGTACCCTCGGCGCCGAGTCTCAGTTTCCATAGAAGTGGAGAAGAATGATGTCAGTATTTCCGACACGAAGGCCAATGGGACTGCGGGGTAGGCGGGCCCTGCGGGACACGGCCCAATGGGGGAGGTGGAGAAGGGGGCGTGGCCGTTCCCGTTCGCCCGTCAGTCAGTCATCGGTGCGGGAGGGGGAGGGGGACCGAGCCGTGCAGTCACTGCCGCCGGGGCCGCGCAGGACGGATCGGCCCCTCCGCGCGCCGTGCGGGGCCGCCGCCAGCGGAGCCGCTGCAGCAGCGTTGAGCGGGGCCGGGGGTGCCCGAAGCTGAGAGGAGCCTTCATCCAGTTCCCTTCCGTGCCCCCTGCCTCGGGCCGGGGGAGTAGCGGGCGGGCGGTCGCCACGGAACAAAGGTGAGGGCGCCGAGCGGAGAAGGAGCCCCCGTGCCCCGCCGGCGTCCTGGTAGCGAGACTGCGGCGGGACTCGCCGATGCTTCGGCTTCGTCTTCCCCCCCCCCATCCCAAACACCCAGTGACGGGCCGAGGGGAGGGACCGGCGGCTTCTTCTCCAGCCCCTCTGCCGGGAGGGACGGAGCCCCCTCCTCCACACTCGCACAGACACACGCTCCGTGTCCCCGCCGAGCAGGTCGGGCCCCTTTCTCCCCGCCCCCCTCCCTTCCTCCCTCCCCGTCCCCGCTCCCTTCTTTTCTTCTTCTTCTTCCTTTTCTTCCCCTCCTCCGCCGCCTCCTGCCTGCTCTCCCTCCCTCCCCCCGCCCGGACCCGCTGCGCCGAGCCGGGGAGTTGCGGCTGTTGCTGCCGAAACTCCTGCGGCGGAGTCAGGGCTTTCCTTTATTTAGGGGGGGAGACGGAGGGAGGAGGAGCCGCCGCGATCCGGAGCCGCAGCCCCTACAAAAGCGTGTGTGTGTGTCGGGGTGGGGGGACTGCTCCCGGCACCCCGCTCCACCGCCGTGCACCCGGGCACTCTTCCTCGTACAATGGAGGAAGAGCCTCCCTCCTCTTCTCTCTCCCTCTCCCCGCGGTAAAGCGAGGAGGGGGTGTTCTCTGCGCCGGGACCCCCGCGGGTGCCCTCCCGCCGCTCGGTGCCCGGGGAGGGGGCGCAGCGCCCCGGGGAGGCGGCCGGGGCGCCTCCCCCTCCCGCGGCAGCCGGGGGTGGGTTGTTGTTGTGGCAAGTTTCTCCTCCTCTGACAGAAATGGCGTCAGTGGCAGCGAGTGTAGGGGAAGCCGCGGCGTGTGGGAGCCGGGGGGGCAAACAGCGGCCGAGGAAAGAGGGAAGGGGGTGAGCCGCGGGAGAAGGGGGGATCCGGGGAAGGAAAGGGGGAGTTTCGGGAGGAGCCCAGCGCCCCCACCCGATGTTTGGCTCCCCTCCCCCCGCCCGGTGCGAGCGGCTGGTGCGGTGCCTTAGCGCTTTGTTTTAAATTCCAGGTCCAGCCTCGGCCGCTCAGCCACAATCGAGGCTTTTACCGCAGCCTGAGCTCATCATGAAGGTAAAACACTCGCTTGTGTGCCTGGGAGGAGAAGGGAGGGAGAGTTGCATGGAAAAATGCTGTCCTATCTGTCAGTCCATCTGTCCCGACCCCGGTGCGAGGCTCGGTGCTGGTGCAGATCCAGACTGCGGGCAGCTTCGCCCCCACTGCCGTGTTTCGGTGCCTTGGCTTGTTCGCTGATCGCGGGGCGGGCCTTGCTCCACCGCGTTATGCTGGGGGAAGCTGTAAGTTCCCCGAACAGGGGCTGTTCTCCTTCAGAAACATTGTTTGTAGGAGAATAAGGACATGGCTGCCTGGGCTGAGCTTGCTTCATGGAGGAGCAGGGCACATTCATCCTGCTCGAGAAAGTAACGTTGTGGGGGAAATGCTGGCTCTACAACGTTGTTTACTTGAATAGAGGGTAGATTTACTTAGTTTCTATTCGTCAGTAGGAGTTTTGTTGAATGAGTAATCTCGATGTGGTCGGGGAGGGTGCAAGTAAGTGATTCTCCGCAGTGAAAAGATTGCTGTAAGGTGCAGAAAGATTTTCAAACAGGTTCTAATTTTCCTCTCGGTGCTGTGTAGTATTCATGTACCTCACTGTCATGCATTTTTCTTCTCTTAAACCTTTCTAGACTATTTATGTTTGGTATATTACGCAAGCTAAATAGCAAAACAGATCGTTTTGGTGAAATAGAATGATTTCTTCTGTGTGTGGCCAAGAACTGTGTACCTAAAAGTAGTTTTTAACAACTGCGTTTGTTAGGTTTTTTTTTTTTTTTTTTACCGTTTTGCTGATATGTCTTGCTCAAACTGCCATTCGTGTTACCATCTCCCCCATGTAATTCAGCTCCCGGTCCTGCTGGGCAGCAGTAAATCTCATTTAAAAATACTGTAAGTCTTATAAAAAACCAATTGTTACAAACCTGTGATGCATCAATTCTTTGTTTTTTGTTAATAAAAAAGAGCAGTCTGTATGTGGATTCTTCTACTATCAGAGTTTTTGCCTACTGTGTGTGAATAAGTATTATGTAAAATGTGCACTCAGTACTATATTCACTGCTGGAAATAGTAAATGAAATAGACTCTTTTAATTTCTAGATTGCTCTGAGTTGCTGAGCAGTGAAGTCTTTCTGTACAGCTGTTAAAGGTTTAGCATGTTTTTTTTTACTTTGGTGACTTTATGACAGTATTTTTTAAAAATCACGTTTTAATTGCCCTGCGATTTTTCTTTAGTAAGTGCTAAGATATAAAATACTGCACACGTCTGTCTTATTAAAGTAAACTATTTATGAATTTACAACAACAGGCTGCTGAAGTTGTATGATAGGGAGCGTTCCAAATGTGGCTCATTGCCTGGTGGGGATACTGGAGATGGAAGCAAGATAAATAGGAGGCAGTATAGGGAGCTTTTTTCCCCAGAAGGAAAAACCACTTATTTAAATGACAGTTAAATTTACATACTTTTCTAATATTCTTTTTCAATACAAACAAATCTTACAGTTACCATAGTGATTAGGTTCAGATACTGAGGTTTTAGAGCCATATTAATATGTAGATAGACGGTTGGGAGCATGAGGAGGTCAGATCACAAGTAGAACGCAAAGTGTTCTGTGAAACAGTGATACAGATCCACTTCAGGCTGAATTGAATGTATAACAGATGATTAAATTTAGAGTAATAAATACAAAAACCTGTTAATAGACCCGTATTTTTTTAAAAAACCCTCAGAGCTTACTTAGTCAGTAAAGTTTGTGCTACTATTGCATGTTTATTTTTAAAGTTAGGATAAATTCTGTCAGAGTGTTCAGGTGCTAAGTTTGTCTGTAGTTTTTGCAGTTTGTGTGTGTGTGTAGTGTTAAACTTACATATGCTTGAAGTAACTCCAATACTTTATTTACTGTGCCCTGTAGTGTTAAGGGAGGTTAATCTGTAAGTCATTACTTTGAAGCTTTAGTTATTACAGAGAAACTTTTAACAGAATTGTGGTTCCAAAGAAATTCTAAGATTCAACAACCTAACCAAGATTATAGGAGTTATACAGTGGATCAGTTCTTCTGGCTGGCTTAAATTTGTAATTTATTAGTTAAGTTTACTAGGATACAAGCTAGTCCAATAAGAAGCAGTAAAGGAGAATGCTTAAGAGAATTATTAGCTTTCTGTTTGTATTGCTTCAAGGTAACATTGATATATTAGATCAAGATACTGTTTAAATATGACTGTATATTTCTGTGCATTTATTTTTTAAGTTATCCAAAGAGTACATTCTTTAGATACTCAAGGACACTTCAGCATATAGAGGATTTAATCCTTTAAGACTTAGTCTTGCTTAGAGTCTGCTGATGCAGACTTGCTTCTGACTGCATGATTGAGGCCTGTGTTTTGATTTATGCCTTGGTCATTCTTTCAAGTGCAGAGCATTGTGGATTCTGGTGCACAGAGCCTTAGAACTGGATTCCTTGTCGGTACCTTGTCTCTTTACGTGAACTTGAACAATTCAATTAACTTTACTGACTCCTTTCCCCCACCTGTGTGGTATGGATAAAATGTTGATCTTTCTTTGTAAAACACAGTGAGGTATATTTAGGAACAGCACCAACAATTATATTGACATAAAACTGTAAGTCACTCGTGTTCTTGCATTTCGCAACGCTTTGACACAAGAGAGGTATGCTGCCTGCTAAGAGATTACCAAAGCTGTTGGTATAATTGCTCTCCTTGTAATAACCCAACTTAATCCAAGGAAATAAAGTCCCTCATATAAACCAGTAACTTTAGCCTATTAAGTTGTCTTCCCATGGACTGCTAAGACCACTTAAAAACACACTTTTGAAATATGTCTTACAAGAAGTGTTCAAGTCTTAATAGAATTATGCTTATTATTGTGATGTTTTACTAAATCAGGCTTTTTCCTGTGTTTTTGACCTCTGATAGTTTTTGTTTTCCTGTGTGATTGACCTCTGATAGTTAGTACAGTTGTGTAGATAATGGCTAGAATTGCTTGCATGTTGTGAAGGGGGGTTTTGTTTGATTTAGCACCTTTTGTATAAGGTCTTTTTGCATTAAGTACATGTCAGAAGAGTGTAGAATCTGTTTGATGATTTAAAAAGTAATTGCATGCCATCAAATGACTGCTTACTAAGTAGGTAGGAATATATGTAAAAGCATTCTTATAGAGTGCTTTTTTTTCCAGCCCCAGAATCAGGAAATAAACTCCCTGAAAGCA